ATAAGTCTCAGCTCGAATCACAATTAAACAGCGACAATGTTAGCAATGTTTACAGTCCCACAATGCATCCGTGGAATGCCGCGTGACTAGTCAGCTTCATCTGACTGATAGGGGCGGTGGGGTAGCCTAATGGTTAAAGCGTTGGCTCGTCACGCCGAAGACCCGGGTTCGAATCCCCACATGGGTACAATGTGTGAAGCCCATTTCTGGTGTCCCCCGCCGTGATGTTGCTGGAATATTGCTAAAAGCGGCGTAAAACCAAACTCAGTCAGTCAGTCAGTCATCTGACTGATCATACCCTTCGTCACCACTCGCCCCTTTACGTAAACTCCAAGAAGACTCGTCCCCGTCTCGATGCTTGTTTTGTGCGAAAATACGACAAACCAATCAGAACGCGCGTAATGGTCGCGGTGCTTTGATAAAAATAATCCTGAATACTTAAATCGTTATGGCATTATGTTATTGTTTAAAAAATCATGAAAAATATATATCGTCTTATTGAAATGACTAAGAACGTAGCTAACAGAATTGTGCTGTCTAATGTGAAGTTTTTGATAAGAATGATCCGACTGACGGTGAGAGATTCAAATAAACGCACGTGAGTTTGTTGACACAACGGCTCTCATGGTTCCAACTGAGCGTATTTCTGACGATCTTGGGGGCTTGTGGTGATTGTACGTGTGCTTCCAACAGTTTTTGGAAACGTAATTATAGATCGCTACGAGTTTCAAAACAATAATATTATATCTGTAACTAATCAACTTTAATCTTTAACATTGGCATATATTCCAATTCTCTGGGTATATTTTAATCTGACCTGTTTTTGGTCATTCATACATTTTTCAGCGAATTCATTTAATATTCCACTTGGGGTATGACAGAAAGGTTACACGTATGTTCAGTTTGAGAAATATTATAAAAGTCATTTTTGAGTTTCTGCTTTGGGATTTAATGTAGCTGATATAATTTTTATTTGCATAGTCAATAAAACAAATCCTATTTGTAATTATTAAACCCTTTTCAGAAATTATAACTGGAAATACAAGGTGAACATCTGGTAATGATTACGTCAGAATATGTCTTTAACAAATAAGTGATCTAACCTTACATTGGAAGTAGAAATGCGACGTTCATATTGCCCCATATGGTTTACTATAATCAGAGATTTAATTAAAATAATATAGAGAAGATATTTGATCCGAATGTGAACCGTCTTCCGACTGTTTATCAGTTGTTTTCCTGGTAACGTGCGCCTTACCGTAAGGGGCAGACACGTCATTAGAACAGCACGTGAGTTAGCCTTGAGCGAAGACTGTCAATTTCGGTTTCCGACACCGTCGTTTTTCTATTATTTTCTGCCTTAAGTTAATCGTTGGGAAGTATTAAATTTGGCTTCCAAGAAAAGAAATACATTTGGCTCTACTACCATTTATAGAGACAACACCTAAAAAATCAGGCTCTTATTTTTCGACGAATACGTCAGGGCAAAGGTTACTATAGTAGATTGTACATGGGCGAACTGTATTTCTTAGGACTTTCCTTTAACTACAAATGAAAACTAATATTATGTAGGAGCTAAACGTACTGTGTTTGCAAATAAGATGAATGTTAGACCGAATTGATAGTCTCTACATTTCATTCAAAAACGAACGCGTAGCCTATCGTATCACCCGTCTATGTGAAGTTATTGTCGAAGTGGTGTATTAATGTGTGGCAAAATGAACACGGCTCCTGGCCATTAATCACCAGAATCTCTTCCTCGACCGACACAGGGACGCAACGCACGGCCCACAAGGTTTGCTTCTCTTACAACCAGCAATGCCGTGCACAGACATCTTGGGTATGTGGACCTATGTTGTCTGATGGAAGCAGGTAGGTGTTGGTTGGTTGGTTGGTTGTTTAACGCCGCACTCAGCGGTTCCCACTTTGCCGGACGCTTTTGTTCGGAATAAAAAATCACTGATGCGCGATAATCCCTATAACAATAGGGGATTAAGTTATTGTCTGTTTCGATCTAACAAACGGTCTAACACACTACACTTCAGCTCGATTTTTTTTATTTCAGCAATTCAGTTTGGTATACATGTATATCTCTTCTACAATTAGGTACCAAGCAGAAACATAAATAATTATTCCAACACAGGGACATCAACCAGGTCTGAGACAAGATCCCCATATGCCTCTGGGGTGTAAGTCCCATTCACAAGACGCACCTTCAGCACTGCAAGACGATCATCCAGGGCTCGATACAGTTTCTTCCTGGGACGTCTGGACCCGCCGTTCTGCAGCTGAGAAATTGTAATTTCCACCCTGGACTGCTGTTGTTTAAGAAGGTCCACAAACTTGAACAAGTTTGGATGACAGGCTGACAGGGCATTTAAATGAGAGTGCCAACCTTCTACGTGATTAGTCGTTCTAGGTCCATCTGTATCAAAGTGGTTCCAGAGCAGCAGCTCGCCACCCTCAACCCACTGCTCGGTGACGTAGTCGGCAAACCGTTGCACACCCTGGTCATTCAGATCAACACTCTCTAGTGCATGAAACCAAAAGTTCTCGACATCACACACCCTAACCAAAGGAAGTGCTAATGCACGCCTGACCAATGTACGTACGTTGTCATCATTCTTGTAAGCTCCCTGCAGTCCACAGTTTCTTGCATGTTTCACAAGGGCCCGTCTGTAGTGAAACATACAGCCCTTAAGCTCACACTGGAACGCTTCCTTTGCTGCATTCTGAGCACCTTTTCAAAATCACTGAAGAATGTTGAAGGTCGTAGATTGATGTTGTGCTCGGCTGCCTTCTGTTTGAGAAGTCTAAAGAAATCTGCATAGGTGGATTGTTTCTTATCAGGCAGTAGGCCATACACAAGAGGAAACATTTTTCCATCAACAAAAGCATGTATAGTGTAGATTTGATAGAATAAAGAAGGACACATGCTAAAAGTACCATCACAATAATATACACAGCAGCAGCAAGGTGACGAAGGTTTTCATCCGTAGCAAATATCATGATCTTGTTGTGGTCAGTAGCATGGAGCAGGAAGTCTGCGTTGGTAGCCGTCTTGGTGAAGTGGTCGGGGAGATCGATGTCCTCGCGTCGGCGTGGCAGGGTTGGCATTTCCTTGGCTCGGGATCGGTATAGGCTGGAATGAATGCCGTAGAATGTAGGCACTGAAGGCACTGCTTCGGGAACATCTCTCCGGAGTTCTGAAAACAAAAACATAATAAGATATATAACAAATACAATAGAATATAACATTGATATCTTACTGACTTGATATTCCATTTACAAAATCCATTGCACATTTCAGTATGAACTCAATTTAAGTTTGCCATTTTGCAATAATAATGAGTTCGAACTCAGCTGCCAAACTCTGATGTCCCCCAAATGAGACTACAGGTGACAACTACTCACTGAAAACAGACTATAGCCGGCAAACCAGCGGACCGTTACTCTTAATCCGTTATCATCACATCAGCTGTCCGGCAAAGTGGGGTATGACCGTATATGCAATGTGACCATAGCCTGTCAGGGGTATTAACTGTAATCCAGACCCGACATACCAAAAGCTCAATGTCTCATCCTGAGGGGAAGACTGTTTAATGTGCCCCTGTACATCCTGTAGGGGTACATTTAGCGGTATTATCGGGACAATGTATCCAGCCGCCATGTTTTCTAATCTTACCAGCAACCAGAAACAGACAGATTGAGATGACAATTTGTTTAATCCTGCATCCTGGTTATCGGAAACCATTATATTAGACAATTATGTTTTGTAATAATACCTTGGCTTGTAGAGATTGGCAAATGTCTGCTTCCGGTCAGACATTTTTCAGTTCTGCATCCCTGAACATGGTTCATAGATATTTATTACAACGTCATTATATTTTGCATTTTAAATGCAACATTTGTTGTAATTCTGAATTCTATGGATCAGGAACTCTTACAAAAATAATGACGCTGTGATAAATATCTATGTAACATGTTCAGTGATGTGCACGTTCATGAACTTACAATAAGCGTATTGTATTCTGCTTATCTTCATTACAGCAGATTACTACAATGAACATAGAGGGCTTACACTGACATTAAATAAGTGTACATTTGCAGCTGACTTAAACAGAAGTGATTATGCCATATGAAGGTTGCCCTGATTTCTTATCTGTTATCAGTGTTGTGATTCGTCGTGTTTTGGACAGGTGCGAGGCAAGTCTTGTCAAAAGGTAATAAAATTGCTGTCTTTGGTCTTAAATATCTTGAGTTGCATGCACATTGTTTTGATGGTCGGGCCATCGCGAATTAAAACAAGACATAGCCTAATTTACTCCCGCTTCCCCAATGTAACGTCCCACGATTCCCTCTATCACTTACAACCCGGTCCATCTGCCTGTATCCTCTCCCCTTTCCTGATAAATCCCTCGACCAAGGTCAGTTCTGTTCTCAGCCATTTACCCGGCACTAACGGGACCTTGGGAATAGACCTAGACTCATGTTAGTTGCATTAGTTGAACTAAAATTTCCTCAATACTTTGACAAATGAATGCAACACCGTTTTCGCTTTAAGATAAATTGAAATATATTGCAATTAGTAGATAAACCATCAACTGACTGAGTGAGTATGGTTTTAGGCCGCTTGTAGTCTTATTCCAGCAATATGTCAGCGGGGAAAACCAGAAATGGACTTTAAGCGATGTACCCACCTGGAGAATCGAACCCGGGTCTTCGGCGTGACGAGCGAACGCGTTAACCTCTGGGCTACCCCACTGCCCAGGTTTGGAACAGAAATATTTGTGTGAGGAAGGTTTGGGGTGAAGAATGAACATAGATATGGTGACACTGTCTGGAGACATCAAGGATGACGAATCTGAGATTAGAACCCACGAACACAGGGCATACATTCGCGGTGTCAGCAGAGGTGCTGTTTCCAAACGAAGTCGAAAACCACTTTAATTATTATACATTGTCACAAAATATCACACAAAGGTCTCAAATATAACTCATTTTCACAGAATATAATTCTCTTTTATTATCTCTCAGTACAAGGTGGCCGCTGGTTCAGCCCCTTTTCCTGGGTTACAGAATCTGAAACAAAATTATCCATAAACGGAAAATTGTTTTAATTTTAGGAGGGCAAGAACTACCTTTAAACAACCCTGAAACATGTGCAGTGATTTAAATGTATAAAAGTGATTTCCATTTCCATTTTCCTATGTTCACATATCAAGTCATGCATTTTATTTGTCCTACAAATAAACACCTAATGCCTAATGCGATTAGTTATAATTTGTTTGTTTGTTTGTTGTTTAACTAACTCAGCAATATTCCAGCTATAAGGCAGTGGTCTGCAAATAATGTAGTCTGTACCAGGCAATCCAGTGACAACTTCATGAGCATCAATCTGCGCAACTGGGATACGATGACATGTGTCAACCAAGTCAGCGAGCCTGACCACCCGATCGCGTTAGTTGTCTCGTACGACAAGCATGGGTTGCTCAAGACCAGTTTTAACCCAGATCTTCGCGGGTCGATGAGCTTTAGTATGACAACGGAATTTGGCTTCCAAGGTCGAACAGTACCATACTGAAGCTCGTGGATATCACCAGAGTGGTAAAGTATCTAAAATCTGTGTCACGCCTTGGCACATAACTGAATCAATTCAGAGCAGTCAACTCGTATATTCATTCATTCACTTGGTCTACTTACTAAGCGAGTGAGTGAGTTTGGTTTTACGCCGCTTTTAGCAATATTCCAAAACTATCACGGCTGGGTACACCAGAAATGGGCTTCACACATTGAACCCATATCGGGAACCTGAGTTTTCAGCGTGACGAGCGAACGCTTTAACCACTGGGCTACCACACCGCCCCCTACTTACTAATGCCGACATGTGCAGTCTCCCGCGGGAGCACCTGCTGGATGGACACAGTGACCTCCGTTGTGGCAATGGTTGTTGCAGTGTTGGCAGTCATGGTCGTTGTGGCAAATGCCGTTACACTGGGCATCAGCTTCAATGCAGAAAAGTAAATGTAGATCACACTGAAAGTAACGAAGGCCACAAAGCAAAGAATCATGGTAGAAATGCTGAAATGCAGTTCTGATCTCTTTTACGACAGTCTAATACGATAAAGTCTATAAGAATTTGTAATATTTGTTAGATGACTCTCAGTGCCCGTTCTAAATATTTATTGATGTAAAATAGTGGAGCATGACAAAAGTTCACATGTGTTTGGTTTGTCTGGTCAACACTGTTTAAGAAGTGTTCTCAAGGTATAGTCTGTTTGCAGTGAAACGTACAGATGAATTTCACTTTTAACAAAAAAGTAAATCAAATAGAGTGAAATTAAGTTTGCGAATCCTCATAATTATACTTTGCTAACTGAGCATCTAAATCGCAGAATTTTACTCACCTTAGGATAAAAGTTGTTTAACATACGTGTCATAACTAAGGCATTCTCCATTAGGTTCTAAGAAATAAAAGAATTTTCAATAGTTGGTTGATGATTCTATGTTTGTTACAAAGATGACTGAAATTCCACAAGGAATGATGAGAAACACAATAGAGTTCTGTGGACTCACCGACAAATGCTGACCCAATGAGCATGACAGAGACGAGGAGAATCAGAAACGCTGCCTTCATTGTGGATGAATGAATGCCCAGGTATCTCCACAGTTGCCTTTATACACCGTGGCTCGTGACACAATAATCTTCCCTTGTACACATCGAGTTATCTTTGTCAGCAATGTAGACCATAGTTATCCCAGACCAGTTTTTCCCACAGAATGTGTTGTAATTACCTGTAATGTGGACCATAATAGAACGAGTAGAACATGGTAACATACATTCCTAGGCTATGTTTTTATCAGCTCAATGTTATCTTTGTGGTGCTAAGTTCATCAGTTTTTGTGTGTGTGTCCAGGATTGTGCAGATCTAGTGTGCCAGGCGTCCCAAAGTGTTTTATTTGTGAGTTTCACCCGTTTCTATTTCTAGGCATGTAGTTCAACAAACAAAGCATGTTATAATTTTATGTTATTTAAAGACTCGTAACCAACCTCAACAAACCCGTAAACCCTTATTAAAATGTTTTCCTTTTCAGGGATTTGATAGGACACTCAACAATATATAGAATTTGAGAAGCAGCATAATTCTGTGCTTCCCATGCAGTCATTAGGATAGAACTTGGGATAGAATTTCTCCCCAAAATGCTTTAGAATAATCATGCTTCAGACTTTTGATAAGTTGTTCAATTGTCTGCCATATATAATACGTTTTCGTCAGGCTGATAAGTGGTTACATTGACCTTAAAGGGAGGTTCAATTTCATCCAGATTTAAAAAATTATTTTAGGTTATTTTTCATGAACGTGCATGAGCAAAACCACTCGTTACGTTCGACCCTGTGTTGTGGGCAGCTGTTCTTCATCTCCTTCAGCCATACACTTATCACTGTTATTAAAAGTTGTTGTCCATGATGCCAGATTCTTAAAAGCATCCAGTCATCAGGACACAGGCAAAACGTTCTTTAACATTGGAAACATACTATTGACCGTCAAGAGTGAGTGAGTGAGTTAAGATTTAAAGACACATCGGCAATATTTCAGCCATATCGTGACTGAAACTAGTTCTAAATTCATAATACATACATATAATATATACAACCCTGTCAACGAAGGACAGTAAAACCACTAGCTTATCACAGATTGAGTTAAAACTAGCTAGCATATATCTTTAAAAGTAGAAAATTATTTCTGGACAATGTAAAAATGGGCTATAGATCGCCAACAACTGAAGGTAGATCACCATACTAGGGAAAATGGGGACTTACAGTGCCTTTGCTACCTGCATGGACCCTAGTTGGATTTACGCCATCCCTTCAGCCGCCGGCGATTGTAGGACAAGTTTAGCCGAAATGTAAAGGAACAAATATACTACGTTTAAAAATCGGGAAAGCAAAAATTTAACTTTGAAAGTTTTTGGACTTACGTACCCTCTCAGGGGGACAATAATTTTACGCTACTTCAACCCCCTTCGAGGATACAGCCACTAACAGTCGCAGTTGCAAATTTATACTACCGTGTTTAAAATACCATTTATCTATTTACAAATCATTTAACAAATCTAATTCTTTTAAAAATGCAATAATTAAATGAGAACTGACATTACTAAAAAGATCCTTCATAGTTCGTGATTTAAAATAGATATTCCTTGTGATGGAATATTCAACACGCTTGACCGTGATTTTTTTATCACAAGGGATACAAAACGGAGGATCCTCACCTTTCAATAGGTACTCATGAGTAAATCTTGTGTGGCCAATACGACATCGTCGTATGATGACCTCTTCAAATCTGGACTGACAACCAAAGTAGGTGTAACCGGTAGTTTGTTTTATTGCATGTAATTTATTAATACCTACTTGGGTGTCCCACTTCTTTTGCATCAGATCACAGATCCAAGTTCTAATGCTAGCTTTGTAATCAGAGTAAGGAATAAGAAGTGGTGTCACCGATTTGTTGAGTGATGCCTTGGCATCAAGATCCGCCATTGTATTCCCAGAAATGCCAACGTGGCTAGGTAACCAACAGAGGACGATGTCGTATTGGCCAGTTGAAAGATCATTATATAATTCTTGGACCCAATGACAGAGGCACAAGCCACCGCGCCACCATCCTTGGACCCATCTGTAAATAAGCATTTATATGTATTATATTTACTTTTTAATTGAGTATATTCTTGTTTATATTGTAAGTCATTAGTTTCTGATTTTTTAAATTTAGTGAGTGTTAGGTCGACTTGTGGCCTAACCAATTGCCAAGGAGGAGAAGAAAGAAGACGGGAAGGAGATAGTAATGGATGGCTTAATCCTGAGCCCAAGAGGCGGAACAAGAGAAGGTTTCTTGCTGTAGAAATCCTCATAAAGAGGATTAAAGATACAGTGAAATGCAGGATTAGACTCATTAGAATATAGTTTGGTAATAAATTGTAATGATAATTTTATACGGCGTTGGGTAAGAGATGGTTCATCTGCCTCGAGGTAGAGACTGTCAACAGGAGATGTTCTGAATGACCCAAGACAAAGTCTCAGACCTTGGTGGTGGACAGAATCTAATAGGTTTAGGTTGCTTTTGCAGGCTCCACCATATACGATGGAGCCATAATCAAGATTTGAGCGGACCAGAATCTATATAGGTGTAGGAGGGTAGTTTGGTCCCCTCCCCACTTTGAATTAGAAACGACTTTCAATAAATCGAGTGCCTTCAGGGATTTACTTTTAAGGGATTTGATATACGGAAGAAAGGTTAAATGGGAGTCGCAAATCAGACCCAAGAACTTGGCCTCCTTTACAACCTTGATGGGAGTGCCATTTAAAAACAGTTCTGGGTCTTTATGTGGTTTATATTTACGGCAGAAATGTATGCAATTAGTTTTTGATTTATAAATTTAAAGCCGTTTTCAAGACACCATTTATTTATTTTGTTTAAACACAACTGTAGTTGCCGTTCAATAGTATGCATAGTCTTACCGCGACAAGAAATGTTAAAATCATCCACAAAAAGTGATCCATCGATTGAATCATTTAAAACCTTGGATAAACTGTTGATCTTAATACTAAACAATGTTACAGACAAAATACTGCCTTGTGGGACACCCTGATCCTGATTATAATGGTCAGACAGGGTTGAACCCACTCGGACTTGAAATTGCCTGTCTGTTAAAAACTGTAATATATAAAGAGGTAAACGACCCCTTAAACCAAAATCATGTAAATCCTTCAAAATGCCATGCTTCCAGGTGGTATCGTATGCTTTCTCGAGATCAAAGAATATCGATACTGTAAGTTGTTTATTTACTATAGCATTTTTCACAAAGGATTCTAAACGTACCAAATGATCAATGGTACTACAATTTTTCCTGAAACCACATTGAATATTTGTTATAAGGTTATTAGTTTCAAGATACCAAGTTAATCTATTATTCACCATACGTTCCATGGTTTTACAGACACGGCTAGTAAGAGAGATCGGTCTGTAATTCGACGGATCTGTATGATCCCTGCCAGGTTTTGGTATTGGGACTACAATGGCATTACGCCATGAAGGAGGAAATTCTCCAGACGTCCATATTTGATCAAATATATCTAAAAGTGTCATCAGACATGGTTCAGGTAAGTGTTTCAGTAGCTGGTAATGTATATTGTCATCATCCGCTGCAGTGTCATGAGCTTGCTCAAGAGCTGTATGTAGCTCATGTAATGAAAAAACTTCATTTTAATCTTCACCGTTATTTGATTCGAAATTAAGTTTAATCTTTTCCTGTTGTTTCTGATATCTCTGAAACGCAGAGACATAATTTGTCAGTAATTAAATTATCACCATCTTTAAGATGGTGAACAGCAGATTTTGAACCTTTGCCTTTAATTCTTTGAACCATGTTCCATACCTTGGACATGGGCGTCCGTGAATGAATTTTGGAGACATAATTTCTCCAAGATTGCCGTTTGTTTTGTTTGAAGGTAAGACGCGCCTTTGCATTGAGTATTTTAAATTTATTTAAGTTATGGACAGTTGGGTGATGGCGGAAATAATTTTCTGCCTTTTTCCATGCTTTTCTGGCTTGCCTACAATCTGTATTAAACCACGGTTTCCATACATGTGGAGTCGTAGAGGACTTTGGTATACACTCATCAGCTATTTCATTCAAAACGTCAGAAAAGGTCTGAATGGGATCAGTTATATCGCTGAAACATTCAGGTCGTAGTTTCGATTTACACATAGTTTGATATAAGGACCAGTTAGCCTTCGAAAAATTCCATCTTGTATACGATGGAGTATCAGATGGAGTTATTTCTGAAAGAATAGTTGGGAAGTGGTCACTTCCACAAAGGTCATCGTGAACTTCCCATCCAAATTCATTGAATAGATAAGAATCTGAAATGGACACATCTAAAGAAGAGTATGTGCCGGTCGCTGGATGCAGATAAGTACTTGAGTCGTCATTAAATATACACAGGTCATTATAAGAGATAAAATCTTCAAGTGTTTTACCTTTGGCGTTTGTGTGTGAACCTCCCCAGAGTGGGTTGTGGCCATTGAAGCCGCCCATGATAACACAGGGCTTCGGTAGTTGATCATAGAGAGACTGAAGATCAGCCTGCTGAAGTGCTGACGAAGGCGGGATATATAGAGAACATACAGTAAAAGCAACACCCAGAGTAAGCCGTATTGCTACAGCTTGAAGATTAGTTTTGAGTGTAACAGGGCTGTGAATAATATCTTGTCGCACAAGGATAGAACATCCTCCAGTGGCTCGATCACCCGGAGGAGAAAAACAATGATAGGCTTTAAACTGACGTAAGGTAAAATTGTCTGTCTGTTTCAGGTATGTTTCCTGCAGACAAAATACTGATAGTGTGATATCCTGGACTAATAGCTGTATTTCATGGAAATTAGTTCGTAGTCCTCTACAGTTCCACTGCACGATGTTTTTAGAAAAAACTATCTTTTCGGTGGGTTAATAGGGGATCTACCCCTCACTTTTTTCGAGGGCGACAAGCTATGTTCCCTGGGATGGAAGGTTTCTGACACTTCCATGTCCTCAAGCGATCCATATTTATTGTACAATTTGACTGGATTATCTGAACCCTTCGAAGACTCTTTTTCGAAAATTCGAGCTTGTTTTTGCTTGAGATTTTTGAGTTGACTGAGACAAAGATTGTTCTCCGGATACAG